CAGGTATATACAGAAGTCATGGTTCACAGTTTCATCTCATTCTAAGTTAACAATATATTTTGGTTTCAGTACCTTCTGTTTCCATATATGAGCTCTGGGATTCTGTTTCAATTTTTATTTCATTCTTCGTTGAATCATTCTCTTGTCCTGTTCAAAACAGTGATTGAAAAATAAAAGAAATGTGATATGCATGACCACAGCTTCCTGACCTTCAGAAACCATGCTTTAATCGTGCATGGAGAAATAGAGAACAGTTTTGAAACCAAAGTGGAGGGCAAAGATACAATTTTTCTAATCGTCAGATTTATATCAATTATTTTCTGAGAAATATCCTGATAATTTAGGAAAAAATCTTTTTTTTTTTTTGGAAACTGATTTGAAACTGCCATACTTATATAGCTTATCAATGCACAGGATGTGGATAGAGGACACAACCTGGAAATTTTCAAATTTTACAATAATTTCTGGGCTGTATGGGTTAACTACATTTAATTTCCTTTTAAGATACAAATGTTTCCCATAGTGAGGATTCCTAGAAAATGAAAACACTACTTGCACTTTCATTTTTCCATCAACAGAGCATAAAAAACTTGAGTCATGTGGGCACAAGGGAACTGGGGGGATAACAGCTCAGCCATTCTCTTAAGACACATACTAAATACAGCAAAGGTCAGGAGAGAATTCAGCCAACTCTTGATTACTCTTAGGTTGATTATCTAGTAATGGTTTTTCTTCCACACCCCTTGGCTTCTCCTCCTACCCTCCCCTGTAGAGTTTAAAACATTTAAGTGCTCATTAAGAGAGGAAATTGAAATCTGTCCATTTTGCCTCAGGCTAATGAAAGATTTTGTGCTGAGGATATTTAACTATGGAAATTTTTCTTAAAAATTCTAGAGCTAGGGTTGGTTATATATGCAAAGCAGATTGAGAGGAGCGTGGACTCTTTGCCTGAGTCCATCCCTGTGGTGGCGTTATGGTTTCAACTTGTCTCTACTTCTTCCTATAAGAGGATTATAGTTCCCTGTCTGTGACAATGTGACATGCAGTGGCCCTTGTGGGGCAAGTGTATGTTCCCACCACATTGACACAGGTCTGTTCACGTGACTTGTTTAGGAAATGGCACTGGAACAGACATCATGCGTACTGCAACCAAGCAGAAGGCTTCAGATCCATTGTATGTTGCCTGCAGCTCTTTTGCTCCTAATAGACCATGTTCCTTCATCTAGATCCTGAAGGGAAAGCATGTGGAACACAGTCAAGCAGGGCTAAAAAGAGACACAAGCAGCCTTTGTTGTTGAGCCCCCAATGGGATTTTTGGGGTTATTTGTTACTGCAGCAAAGCTGACTTATATAACTCCTCATCTTAGAGTTTCCTCTTTGATACAATTATTTTTAAACTGCCCATGATACTACGTCCCCTTGATTCATTCTCTGCTAGCAGGACCCAGATAAGGGAAAAATCATGCCTTTTGTGTGATATCCACTCCTCCTGAGCTCAGTTTTAATCAAAAGAATCCAATAAAATAATTAAAACTAAAGCATGTTTATCTATTTGATCACTGAATATAAAAACCTCAAGCGGTTTTTGATGATTTTCTTTCATCACTCCTGAAGTTCAATGAAATGCCATCTTCATGGTTCTGCAAAATATTTCGGTTTTCCCACTTTCTAGCCTCCTGCCTTCTTTCCTCATTTAGGGATATATCATCTGTCTCTTGGATCTTTCGTTTTCTTCTCCTATATTCTATTTTGTGATTTGATCGCAGAAAGGCCTTTTACAATTTGAACTTGATCGATCAAGACCTTTCCACTTTTGAAAAACCCGTTCATCCTCATTCTTCCCCATTGCCACTCAAAGTTGTAAGGTTAGCTGAGAGAAAGGACGAGAGAGAGAGAGAGAGAGAGAGAGAGAGAGAAAGAGAGAGACACCGAAGGTCAGGCGAGTAAGTTTATTAGCCTGCCCGGCTGCCCCACCAGTCAGAGGAGGCAGCCTTCAGCTTACAAAATGAGGGGTTTATATGGTGGAGAGAGACCCTGGGGTTGTTTGTTAATTTTACCACATATCATTTAGTGACCAGTTTACAATATAGGAATTTACAAGAGCATGTAACTTAGGTTTATCCTTGTTTCTTGTGACCTTCCCCATGCCACCTGGAGGGCTGTAAGCAAGTCTGGTGACCTTGCTTAGTGCCTAGATAAGGGTCCAGGAATGCAGTTGCAGAGTATTTGGGGTACGTTTCAGCTGCATTGTTCGGGGTGGGGGTGGCAGACCTGGGACAGCTTGTCCCTAACAAAAGTATGGTCCATGGACAAGCAACATTGGAATTACCCGAGAGCTTTTCAAAAATGCAGAATTTCAGGCCTCATCACAGACCTACAGAATCAGAGCCTGCATTGTATAACAAGATGTCCATGTGATTTGTATGCAAGTTAAAGCTTGAGAAGCACTGGCCTAGAAGATGTAAGTGAATCTGCAAATTATTGATCCCCATAAAAAATGCCAAACTGTCCCTAGATACTTCACACGTATTATCTCTAATCATCACATTACCCCTGGAAAGTAAGTGCTGTGATCTCAGTTCTGCTTTCAAAAATCATAACCAGCTCTACCTGACTACAATCCCTCTTTTCTTTTTGTTTTGCCTAGAAATGTCTTTATTTTGCTTTTTAGCTTTTAAAATTGAGATCTACTTGCATACAGTAAAATGTACAAACCTTAACTGTACATCTTTATGATGCTTTAGATATATACACACGAATTTTCCTGTGTAATTACCATTCAGATCAAAAACGATTCTCATACCAGTGGCTTCCTCCTGTTCATACGCTCACCAGGTAACAGTGTGGTGTGTTTTAGAAATTCATTTAAATGTGACATGCACCATATGCTCTTTTGTATTTTAGGTTTTTTTATAACTGTTGTCTGTGAAATTAATTCCAGTTGCTGTGTGCATCAATTGTTCATTCTTTTTCATTGATATATACTATTCTACTGTCTGCATATACTACGTCATATGAGTGTTGAATTGTTTTCAATTTGGTGCTGTTATGAATAACACTGCTAAAATAAAACTGCTTGAATGTTTCTTTTGGCAACATATTTTAATGGACTCATATTCCTTGGGTATAAACCAAGTGACAGAGAACAAGTAGGTTATATAAGAGAGAATATATATGTTTAGCTTTACTAGATCCTGCAAAACAGTGTTCTAAAGAATTTGTTCTGTTTTACACTTCCACCAGAAATATATAAGGATTCCATCTGCATCCTTTATTCTTTTGATTATGTCATGCTACTATGGGCCACAAAATATGCAGCAGAAAGCAATTTAAAATCTTTCACCTCAACCCAGTTTCCACCCTTATCACCTTTGGATACTATATAGAATGATGATGACTGAACTATTAGTTATTCATTCTACAATGTATTGAGTGCCACCAGTGGTAAATATGCCTGCTGCTGGAGTAGATCTTAAGTAAGATAGATACAGTGCTTGTCCTCAAAAAGCATACAGTTGCTGGAACCAAGCATTATATGTGAAAAAAATTTCTTTCTCTTAAGATATAAAACAATTTCCACTTTCTGAGGAAAAAATCACTTCGAGCAGATTTTTGGATTATGGGAAACTGTGTTGAATAAAGACTATATTAGACAACAAAATGAAGGCTGAAATACTCTCAGTAAATTAAATGAAGCCAGGACATTTAACAAGGATTCATGTAAAAATTCTAAAATCGAGTTTATAAAATCAGTCTCAAGAACTGGGATGGGGGGACTTCAACCCCATTTCTGATAAAACTAGGGCCACGGGTTTTGCATTTCAGATCTGCTACAGATAAGTCTGGACCACAGAATGACTGCATGGAGGGAAGGATTCTGTTACAGAAAGTAAAGGCAGTATCTTTAATTAATCTCCTGCAATGTCTTGCTTGGAGAGCCATTTCCTGCTATGCAAACAAAGAATGTATTTAAAAATTAAAACATAATATAATTATGCTGAGGGACAATACTTTTGTAAAAGATATATTCAGAAAAACAAAAACTATAGCAAGTGTCTTTGTATTTACCTGAAATATAAGAATTGGTGGGTAAGGAAATGAGAAGATTGAATGAATAGAAAATTGATGGAGACATTAAGAAACAAATAAATGTTT